CTGGCAACCACTTCCGAGTTTTTCCTAATGAAGTGAAGAGATTATTTCCAGAATATTCATCTCCTGCTATACCCTAGTCATTCTACAACATGTACATTTCATAAGCAGAGTTGTCAAGAGATGAGATGCTAGACCAGATAAAGTAAGGGATGTAGACATAGATGATATACTGTACATTGGTATCTAGAACTACTGTTTTTTGCAGATCTTCAATCATCACAGCAACCTGATGGCATAGGTAATGCACTACATCCCCATTTTGCAGATGAAGAATATGAAGCTCAGAAAGTTCAATTTTTATGTCTAAAGTCACACACATTTTGAAGTTTGGAATATAGTGTCATCTTTGTCTACAAATTCTGTCAGCTGTTGACTATAACACAATGCCTCTTCTACACGTGCTTTTGTGTTCAGGCTGTTTACAATGGAACGAGAGAATTAAAGCAGAAAAAAGCTTCCTTTTTAGAAGTTAAATCTTATAAATTGAAATTCTTATTTTCCAGTGTTTCATTTGTTAGTGATTACTATATTCTACTCGCTATTGGAACACTCCTTCCCTCAACACAGGCATTCTTGAATTCTTTCTTTCATGCATCTAAAGTTTTAGTGTGTTAAATCCTTTGGACTTTTCCCTTCATACATGCCTCTTTAGTGTCTATGTATCTACCACCTCCCACTTGAGTTGCATCTTCTCTGCTAGCTTACCTGCAGTCTTTAATCTCTTCTAATAATAATGCACAACCAATCATACAAGCAACTACCTTTGCTGGTCGTTTTTCTACTCAAAACCACACAATGGTTCTGTTATTTATGTACTTTTAAAGAGAGGGTACCCCCATGTTACAAACCTTTGTCTCAGCCTCCCTACTGGGATTATAGACATGTGTCAAAATTCTCCCATCAAGAGACAAAGACTGGCTGGGAACCAGCAGTTAGCGTAATGGCTATGTCGCTGGACTCCCATGTAGTCGACTGCGGTTCACGTCCCGGACCCGGTGGCTTAAAACTCATGCCGGGCACGTGTGCGTGCGTGCCCAAGATCCTGAGAGGAGAATGGAGGAGAAGGGATTGCGGTGTGACCATCCTGCCTGGGGGGTGATTTCTCACTTTCTGTCTCTCTGTCTCTCTCTGTCTGTCTGGAGAACGCACGCGCCCTACAGTAAAAAAAAAAAAAAAAAAAAAAAAGAGAGAGACAAAGACTGGCTGAATGGATAAAAATCAGAAACTTCTATCTGAAATGCAAGAAATGTATCTCATGGATAAAGATACACATAGACTAAAAGTGAAGGCTGGAAAAAGGTATTCCATGCAAATGGGAAACAAAAAATGTTGGAGTAGAGAAACTAATTTCTGAGAAGATAGGCTTTAAAACAAAAACTGTTCAAAGAAACAAAGAAAGGCACTATATTGTAATAAAAGGGTTAATCTATCAAGAAGATATAACCCTATTAAATATTTATGCACCTAACACAGGAGCAACCAAATATGTGAAGGAAAGACTGTTAGATCTAAAAGGAAATATAGACCGCAACATACTAATTGTTGGAGACCTCAACACCCCACTATCTCCTCTGGACAGATCATCTAGACAAAAAATAAGTAAAGAGGTAAAGGATCTAGATGGTACCATAAGTCAAATGGATTTAACATACATCTATAGAGCTTTCCACCCAGAAACTATAAGATATACTTTTTTTCTCATCCCCACATGGAAACTTTTTTGAAGATTGACCCATGATAGGGCACAAAGCAAGCCTCTACAGATTCAAAGGCATAGAAACTATATCCAGCATTTTCTCTGATCATGAAAGAATTAAACTTGATTTTAATTTCAAGAGAAATCCTAAAAAAATACACAAATTCATGGAAACTAAATAGCCTACTCCTGAATGACTTCACAACTACTTAAGAAATTAAGACTAGGGACCAGCAGTTAGCATAATGGCTATGTTGCTGGACTCCCATGTAGTCGATGACGATTCTCATCCTGGACCCGGTGGATTAAAACTAACGCCAGGCGCGTGTGCATGTATGCCCAAGATCCCGAGAGGAGAATGGAGGAGAAGGGATTGCAGCGTGGCCATCCCCCCTGGGGGGTGATTTCTCACTTTTTGTCTCTATGGCTCTCTCTGTCTGTCCATCTGGTGAGCACACATGCCCTATAGCAAAAACCTCTAAAAAAAAAAAAGAAATTAAGACTAAAATAAAAAAGATTCATCAAATCCCAGGACAATGAGGACATGAGTTTCCATAATCTTTGGGACACTGAAAAAGCAGTCATAAGAGGGAATTTCATAGCAATTAGTCCTCATAAGAAGAATATGGAAAGAAGGCAAATGGATCACCTAACATCATGCCTCAGAGAATTGGAAAAGCAATAGCAAAAAAATTCAAAACTCCAGGAGAAATGAAATAATAAAGATCTGAGAAGAAATAAATGAAATAGAAAATAAACAACATATACAGAAAATAAATAAAAGTAAAAGCTTGTTCTTTGAAAAGATAAACAAAATCGATACACCACTAGTGAGACTTACTAAGAAGAAGAAAGAAAGGAACCAGGTAAATCAAATTTGCCATAAAGTTGGCAATATAACAACAGACATAATAGAAATAAAAAGCATCACTAGAGAATACTTTCATCAACTATATGCCAACAAACAAGAAAATCTTGATGAGATGGACACATATAATCTACCAATATTGAGCTAGGAGTATGTAGAAAGTCTGAATAGGCCCGTAACAAGCCAGGAGATTGAGTCAGTAATAAATAATCTCCCAACAAAGAAAAACCCTGGTCCTGGTGGCTTCACCTCTGAATTCTACAAAAACTTTAAAGGAAGAGTTTACACCCATTCTGCTCAAGTTATTTCTAAAGATCCAAAAGGGTGAATCTCTCCCAAATTCATTCTATGAAGCTTCCATCATTCTTGTCCACAAAACAAATAAAGACAGAACAAGGAAGGAAAACTATAGACCAATATCCCTGATGAATATAGACACAAAAATTCTCAACAAGGTACTAGTAAATCATATCCAACAACATATAAAAAAGATTATTCATCATGACCAGGTAGGCTTTATTCAAGGGATGCAAGGTTGTTTCAATATACATAAAACCATAAATGTAATACACCCTATTAATAGAAAGATAAAAGCCATATGGTCATATAAATTGATGCAGAAAAAGCAGTTGATAAGATACAACATCCCTTCATGATCAAGACTCTCAGTAAAATCGGCATATAAGGATCATTTCTCAACACAATAAAAGCTATTTATAAAATACCCATAGCTAACGTCATCCTGAATGGAGAAAAGCTGAAAGCTTTTCCACTAAAAACTGGTACAAGACAAGGATGCCCACTTTCTCCACTCCTTTTCATATAGTACTGGAAGTCCTCACCAGTGCAATCAGAAATGAGAATGAAATAAAAAGACATCGAAATAGGAAAAGAAGAGGTGAAGCTATCTCTATTTGCAGATAACGTGATGGTATACATAGAAGACCCAATGGTATCCATGAAAAAATTCCTGAAAGTAATACATGAATACAATAAAGTTGCAGGATACGAAATCTATAGAATTTCTATATACGAACAGCAGGCAGACCAAGATAGAACTGAAAAAGTAATTCCATTTACAGTAGCTGCAAAACGTATAAGATACCGGGAACCAGCAGTTAGCGTAATGGCTATGTCGCTGGACTCCCACGTAGTCGACCGCGGTTCACGTCCCAGACCCGGTGGCTTAAAACTCACTCCGGGCGCGTGTGCGTGCATGCCCAAGATCCCAAGAGGAGAATGGAGGAGAAGGGATTGCGGCGTGACCATCCCCCCTGGGGGGTGATTTCTCGCTTTCTGTCTCTATGTCTCTCTCTGTCTGTCTGGCGAGCTCACGCGCCCTACAGTGAAAATCTCTCCAAAAAAAAACAAAAAACAAAACAAAACATATAAGATACCTAGGAATAAATCTAACCAAAGAAGTTAAAGACCTCCACAAGGAAAACTACGAGAAGCTAAAAAAAGAAATTGAAAATGACACAAAAAAGTGGAAGGACATCCCATGTGCCTGGATTGGAAGAATTAATATAAGCAAAATGGCAATTCTACCCAAATTAATCTACGTATTTAATACAATCCCAATCAAAGTGCCAGAGACATTCTTCACAGATCTAAAAAAGATAAGTCATGCCCAGCTTTTGTTGTTATTGTTGCAGACAGGGTCTCCTTATGTTGCCTGCGATCACCTTAAGCTCAAAATACTGCTTCAGCCTCCCTGAGCTGCTGGGATTACAGATACATGCCTTTATGTTCAGCCTTTAGATTGGACCAGGAATTGAACTTGAATCTCCCATGTGGAACATGGTTTTAGCAAGCCACCACCAAGGCTGGGCTGGTTCTGTTACTTTTAATACTAAGACCCAGCCTGCTTTCTTGTCTCTTATCTCATAAAGTTCAAATATGAATTTTCCATGACATCCAGATGAGACTACTTTTTCCTGGAAACCATTGTGCTTGTCACTGCACCAAATCTTTCCATGATTACTCAGACGCCACTTCTTCGAGGCATTATCTAATCCCTATACCTACACCTTGTACAGTTGATAGTGATCTTGGCTGTCCCTCATTCAATGTGGTATTTATGCTCCAAACTGCACATTGGTGGCATGGTATTACACATTGCCTGGCATGAATTTAAGAAGGTGCTAAAGTAGATTACAAAAGTGAAATTTGAAAGACAACCTGGAATTCTCATCTTCTCCCCTACCCTTTTCTACTCCCAGTATAGCCACTGTGCTATAAGTGGTAGTGGTCCATTAACCTTTTCCTAACTTTGATGTCACCCAACCCAGTTTAATGTATTTTATCTGTAATAAGAGTCTAATGTAAGTTTCATCTTCTTTCAAGTATAAATTACTATAGATATTACATAAATAATATCAATTTGTATATTTTTAAACTCATAATGTGAGCCTACCAGTCATTTTTCTTTAGTAGGATAATGACAGGCTGAGACAAGGAAAAATCACCATAGAAGAATTTAGATCAATTTATCGAATTATTGCACACAGAGAAGAAATTATTGAGATTTTCAACTCATATTCTGAAAACCGGAGATTTCTCTTAGAACATGATCTAGTTCAATTTCTGAAACAAGAACAATATGCTTTTGAGCTGAATAAAACGATTGCTTTAGAAATCATTCAGAAATATGAGCCCATTGATGAAGGTATGTTTGCATTTGAAAGTTTTATCGTAATATTTATATGCAAATGTTTTTATGAGTTATAGTTATCAAACACACTTTTGGATGGGTCAAATTTCTTTTTTTATTATTTTATTTTATTTATTTATTCATTTATTTTAATTTGACCAGAGGCAGATAGAAAAAGAGAGGGAGGGAGAGAGAAAGTAAGAAAGCAAGCCATCAGGCCCAAGAATCAAACTGTGGTCAGCCATGTAGGAGTGTTCAGCACCTTAACGACCACACCACCTGCTGATCCTCATGGATGAGTCAAATTTCTTAGGGAAATTTAATGTTGTTGTTGTTGTTGTTGTTGTTGTGTGTGTGTGTGTGTGTGTGTATCTGCATAATTATGCCATTCTTTTCTACTATGTTGTATCCAGATGCTTTCTGTTTCATCCAGTATTTTTTAAGTGTTCAGAGATCATTTTAGGTGTGAAACTAATAACAAGATTCTGTTACATGTACCTTATTAGAAGAAAGTATCCTTTTAAAGAATTAGTTATTTTTAATTTTTACATGGGCTCACCGGGGAGAGAGAGAGAGAGAGAGGAAGGAGAGAGAGAGTCCAAGAAATAGAGAGAGAAAGAGAGGGAAAGGGAGAAAGCAAGCTACCAGGTTCTGGGCTTGAACGACAATTGACCAGGTGGAAGTCTGGTGCTTCGACTACTGTGCCACCTGCTGGCCTTAGAAGAAAGTATTGAAATCATATAAAAATTAAATAAACTAAATGAAAACAATTCTAGGAAGTTAGAAAATGACTATTTTTTCCTCTCTTTATAAATATAGTTCCAAACATTTAAAATTTTTGCATTTCCTTCATTGTATGAACGCATACTTATTGCTCTAAATTAAATGGTCATTCAGGGTAATGATCTGTCATATGATTTGTGATCTTTATCTCATCTTTCAATCAATAGGTAAAACACATTTTTTTCATTATGGTCTTTTTAAAAAAGTAGCTAATTTATTTCTTTCTTCCATAAGTGAAAGAGAAAGAGAGACAGATGGACAGCAGCCTCAATAAAGTCTTTTTTTCTTAAATAATTATTTATTTTATTTTTATTTACTCATTCATTTATTTTTTAATTTGACCAGAGAGAGACAGAGGGTGAGAGTGAGAGAGAAGAAGTGAGAAAGCAAGCCACCAGACTCAGGACTCGAACCCTGGTCAGCCATGTGGGAGTGTCCAGCGCCTTAACCACCGCGCTACCTGCTGGTCCCCACCTCAATAGAGTCTCGATGCTACATTTCACCCCCAGCCTCAGCTAGCCCTGGATCATAAGCATGTGCATGGCTGGCACACCCAGAGAGGTCTATGGATGCAAACCCAGAGCTCTCCCATGTGGTCATCCTCACATTTTATTGCTGTGCCACCATCTGGCCTCTACGCTCATTTAAAAATGAAAATCATGAAGATATGATACAAGTCAGCTGCAGTGACACAGCAGTAATGCAACTCCCTACAATACCGAAGCCACATGAGAAAGTCCTGTGTTCATGTCTTGGGGTCTCTGTATAAACCAGGTGATCGGGTACACACCTATGACCTTGGCTGGCTGGTGCTATGGGCAGATCACAGTGTACCCCATTGGGGATGCTTGTTTCTCTCTCTCATGGAAGAAATAAGTTTTTAAAAAAGACGTAATACAATAAAAATACACATAATTGTACAAAAACCCTCCTTAAAGCACAATGGTTAGCCCTATAGAAATTAACTGATAGAATAGAATAGCTCGAAATACTTACTTAACAAGAGAAGTATTAAAATCCAAACTCTGCCTTTCAAGTCTGGTTAAGACTACCAGTGTTTACGATATAATAGCTTGGGTTCAAACAAAAAACAACTCATTCCTTCATTTAACCATACATTCACCGTGTATTTAAATATTTATTGTGGATTCCAAGAATGGTTCTAGGGACTGGGGTACAATGGAGAACAAGGCAACTAGGCTTTATATTTCTGATGAGGGCTGAAGGAAGATTAACAACAAATACTTAGCATATAAAATAATAATTTTAGAGAGTGCTTACTGTCATGAAAAAGTAAAACAGAGAAAGTGATAGAGATTAGATGACCCAGAAGGTCTAGTTCAGGTTGGTGTTGAGAAGACTCCTCTCTGAGGGTGGGGTATTTGAGATGAGACTTATATGACAAGAAAGAAAAAGCCATGTGACAAAATGGGAGCAACGTCTGAGGTTGAGAGAAGAGGAGTTTTGGACCTGGGTTGAAGAATTTAAGGAATCGAAGCAGGACAATGAAGTGGTTAGAATTTGGAGTATGAAGAAGATACAATTGGAAAAGCAAGGCAGAGATCCTATCAGAGAGGGACTTGTAGACCGTGATTAAGAGTTTGGCTTCTTGGGTCAATGTCATGAGAGTGGGTAGGAGGGTTTATGCATTACAGTGCTAGTAATAGCTGGGTCTGAGCACCATTAAACTTTTTCAGGTTTTCAAACAAGAGCTTGCAATAGACTGTAGAGCAATCGTATCCCTAAGTACACTTGATGAGTTCAGATGACTTTTTATGTTTTTAATAGCAAGAATTGACTTATGGACTGGCTCAAGCTCTTTATGCCATTGCTCACTAGAAACAGCCAGTGTACAGATGAACACTTTCAGTAGCACTGATATAGTGAGTATTACAAAAAAAGAAAAAGGAAACAAAAGAAAACACAAAAACTGCTTTGCACTGTTACCTTCAGGTGATGAATTAAAAGATTCAAAGGGATTTTAGGCTGGTAGCAGTGACACTGGAACTTGTGTTTCCACCACAGTATTACACTGCTCATCCATTTCATGTTCTGAGCCTTCACCTGCATCAGCCAGGTACCCTCATCCATGGCCAAGATCCTGCATTTTGTTTACATGATTGTAGATCACTTTAGAGTCTTACGGGCAATTTTAATTATGATTTTATAGTTCTAAATGCTGCCAAGATCCTCACTTTCAGCCCACACTGGTGTGTGATGTGTACCAAATGAGTTTTTTTAAAGTCCATAAAATGACTCCTCATTTCAATCTGGTAGTGTTTATGGGCATAAAATGAGTTTCTCTATCTGTTACACAAGATATTTACACAATTATTCAATAGTTCAAAAAGACTATAAGCCAATTGCTGCTAGTTGCACTGGGAAAAAAGAATAAATCCATACGAATCGTTACTGTTACACTACATGCTGCACGTGCTTAATAAGCTCCCATATTCCTCAATTTACAGGGTTTTGGAATAGATGGTTTGTGTGCCTATAAACATTTCATATATTTTCTTCTAGCTTTTATTCTTCTTAGCCAAAAATAGTAATAGCATTTCAAATGCTGGTTTTATCCATTTTATGATGTCATAAACATTTACCTAGATCACTGTATATTTTTTATAATACGTTATGTTTAGTGGCTGTGGAGTAGTGCATCATATTTTGAACTTTGTTTTTCTCCACTCCTTCCCCATTTCTTTTGCATTTACAAATAGTGCCAGTGTGAGTATTCTTGCACATCATTTTTTAAATCTGAATTGCTACTTCCATAGGATAAATTCCAGGAAATAAAATTCTTGCCAAGAATCACACTCTAAAGTGAAAACTTGTTTCAGCTTTTCTTTTGAGCAAAACTGACCTATCAACAGCAACTAATATTTATAAAGCTGATATATAGGGGTCGTTTCTATGATTACACTTTTTTCATAGATAGGGAGAGTTTAGTTAACATGCTCACAGTCCTAGAAGATAACGAGTAAATGGATTTGAAACCAGGCTGTTTTCAGAGTCAGTGTTCTACTGAAATGGATCATTCTGGCACATATTATACTAAAAAAAAAGTTTGGAGAAAATTCATTAGAGATGATCATGTACAATGTCTCAGCAACTCTGTCTCTAGGCACTAAACAGTAATGTATGTAATGTATATATATATTTGTACCAAAGGACATGTTTCTTGTTTACATAGCACTATATGTAATGAACTTAAACAGCAGTGCCATCTAAATGGTCATCAAGATTAGGATGGATAAATAAATAGTGTCATATGCATATAACAGGACACTATGTGACAATGGGAAGTAACAATATATAGTTAGTACAATTATAGGAATATATAGTTGCATGCCATTACAGGAATAAAAATTATGTCAAGCAAAAGAAACTAGGCATAAAAAAACATACCACACGAGTCCATTCATTTAAAGTACAAAAACCACAGAAAACTATCCTATGCTTTTAGAGGTCAGACCAGTGGATCCACTGGGTTGGAGTAGGGGAGATTGGAAAGTTATGAGGAGATGGGTTTCTGGGATGCTATAAGGTTTTCTTCCTTGACCTGGGTACCAGTTATCCAGATGGGTAGTTGCAGAATTTCTTTATCTATGTATTTGGTAGCTGTATTTTCATTGCATATATTTTTAATACATAAACAGGGACAATTAAATAAAATACTCTTTATTAAAATATTGATATAGAAGAGCTAAGGGTATTCACTAGGAAAATTTATTTTCAAAGAACAGTTAGAAGTCGTATTAATATTAATTGTAAATGAATATTTTAGAAAGATACTTTACTACTGAGTAAGTTCAGAAGTAAAATGTAACTTTTTATATTGCTCATGGTATTTCTGCATCCTTTTTACTTATGTTTTTACAGTTAAGAGAGCACGACAAATGTCATTTGAAGGTTTTACAAGATACATGGATTCAGCTGAATGTCTACTATTTAAACATGAGTGTCAAAAGGTTTATCAAGATATGACACATCCATTAAGTGATTATTTTATTTCAACTTCACATAACACATATTTGATATCTGATCAATTAGTAGGACCAAGTGACCTTTGGGGATATGTAAGGTATTTATTTTGATTTTTAAAGTTTGTTTTTCCTTTCATGAGTGAGTGTGAGAGATAGAGAGAAAGAGACTATTTCACACTGTGATCTTTGCTCCTGCCTTTCAGGCACCAGGCCACAGGTGTACAGTTTGACCCAGGAACCAAACCCTGATCTTCCATGGCTTTCAGCTTGCACAGCATTGCCCTCTGGCTGGGATTGATTTTTAAATCGATTATGTTTTAAAACAGAAGGGCCTAGGAGTATCTAACTTATATCAATAAATAAACATAGACAGGAAAGTGCAAGCGGTGTGTGTTACTCAAACTCATAGAGAAGAGGAATTTTTATTTCTACATATCTTGAGGACCAAAGCTTTGGATGAGATGGCAACATAATTTATTCTATCTAGTAGTATCATACACTTTACTTCTAATCCTATCTACCGATTATCTCTCCATGATTATAGCCCTTCTGAAGTTTCTTCCTTTTATTTATTTATATATTTTTTGAGAGGTTTTTGCTATAGGGCATGTGCGTTCCACCAAACAGAGAGACACAGAATGTGAGAAATCACCCCCAAGGGGGGATGGCCATGCTGCAATCCCTTCTCCTCCATTCTCCTCTCAGGATCTTGGGCACACACACACACACACATGCCCGGCGTGAGTTTAAGCCACCGTGTCCAGGACTCAAACCGTGGTTGACTACATGGGAGTCCAGCAACATAGCCATTATGCCGATTGCTGGTCCCACCCCTCTGAAGTTTCTTGAGTAACTTGAATATTTATAGAATAACATATAAAGAAGACTTATCTAGCTAATCAGTCTCCTAGATTTTAACAAATATGGTGAAAATTAATTCTCAGATAGTAGAACACAATGCTGTAAGTAACACCAAAACCTAAATGCAGCAAATTGGCTTTTATAGATAATAGTTTTTATAGATTTATATGCCAAGTAATGTATAGATTAAAAGTAACCCATGCTACATCTCCAATTTTACATTCTACAATGAATCATACTGGGCTTCAGTTTAGTTCCCTGCCATACAGCGGTACCGTATAATCTGTGAATAAGTAGATAGATATATATAGAAATATATATAAATATTTTCAGGGGCCAATGAGTCATAAGGTGAAGATGAACTAGGGGAACCTGATAGAAAGTGACTGTGGGTTGGAGGATGTCACTTTGGGTAAAGTTGTCAGGAAAGACTTCCCAAGAGATGACATAGTTGTGATCTGAATGATGACAAAGAGGAAACTTTGGAAAGATCTGCTAGAAAGATCATGTTAAATAGAAGAGATGATAAGTGCATGGCACATTCCCACTAGGGAGAAACAGCGAATATGGCTGGAAACAAGTAAATGATGAATGGGGAAGAGCTTGAGGAGGTAGAGTCAATTTATGAAGGTCTATAGACTTTGGAAAGGAAGATAGATTTTACACTAGTTGCACTGGGAAGCCACTGCAGGGACTTTTCTTAAGATAGTGTCTAATTTTATTTCTTCTTTACTGTGGAAGAAAGACTCAGGGGCAAGAGTGGAGGTGGTATATCTGGGAAGATATTCTAACAGTCCAGGTGATGCTGATTATGTAGATGATGAGCTCATGAGGCAACACTGGTATGTCTCTTCTCAGACTGTATTTCAGATCACCCGTTTCTGCTTTTCACCTTTCTTTTTACATCTATAGTTCCCATTTTTTCCTAATACAAACTCAACAGATATTTATTAATAGGCAACGGTATGTTATTTATTTTTTTATGAGACTGAAATTTCAGTTGCTGTTATTATAAAACTTAGAACATAAGGGATAGATGGTAATTTTGAGGGTCAGAGTTCATGAACCCCATTGCACCACGTCGGTGATGCTAGTGCTATGGTCGGAATGTGTGAGTTCCAGGTTAGGACATGGTCATAGAAACAAAAGGAAAAGTGTGCTCCATTCAGTATAATTATGTGTGTCTGGGAAATGCAACATTCATCTTACTGTTATATACATTTTTTGCATGAATCAATAAAACAATTTGAATAAATAAATCAATAAATTTCAATGAACTTAGTATTTTTGTTCGTTTGCTAGGGTACATGCATTCACTAGAGAGAGAAAGAGAGAAAGAGAACCCCCACAATGGGCCATGGACACGCCTACAGCCATTCAGAATTTTGGGAACACATATACATATGCCTGAGCTGTTTTTCAAGTCACCAGAGCTGAGATTTGAACCATAGTCAGCCATATGGGATCCAGTTCACTGCACAGGGCTTAACTGCTGCATTATGTAACCAACCTAATTTTGGGTATTTTTCACCAAAAAATAATCTATTTTATGATGGTATATAGTAACGTAATCTGTCACACAAGTAGGCTATGGAGATTTTGAGACATCTGTATATTTATATATTTATTATTATAAAATCAGTGAAAAAGATGAATGTAATCAACTCCAATGGATGCCGTCTCAGTAAAAGCATAGGAGTTACAAAGCATGTTGTCATTGCTCTCTTGTAGTAAGGCCAAAAGATTATTTAAACCCAGGAGGTACAACTGAGTTATGAACCTAAGATAGCATTCATGTCAGATCAAGAAACAGATTTATTTGATAAGTGGAAAAATCAGATATAGTTTTAGATATCAGCACAAGTGGAAATATATTTTCCTCAGTTCTAATAAAGCTATGACGTTGGTATATTCTGAGGCAGTCAGTTCAGATTTTTCTCCCAGTGAAATTATGAGTCAAATAGATTAGCATGTATTCAGGTTTCCTTTACCTAAATCTTAACTTTCTCCAGCTTTTACTTGAATTAGAGATGACCTTATAGAAAATTGTTAAGAAGACACAGATTGCTCATGGAGCCATCAGAATCTCCAACTTCCACACCCTCCACTCAACATTTTTTTCCAGAGAGCAAGTCTTGTGATCTTTCTTTTTGTTTTTCTTATTTTCCCACCATATATACTCCATTTCCCAAAACCAGGTCTGAGGAAATTAATCAGATAAAATCTCATTGACATATTCTATTATTCTGGGAAGACTGAGCATTATCTCATTTTAGTGTTGTTACTTTGAACAGTGGATACCGCCAAAACCAAAATTCTTTGGGTTGGGATTGGGAAAAAGAGTAGGCACTATAGTTTGCCTTTTCTTTTTTAATGTAAAATTTGAGAGGCTCAAAACTTGTCTTTAATATAATTAACTTATGCATTGGTTGCAAAAATCACAAATAGCTGAATATTTTAACGTTATGGTATTTATTTTAACGGACCAGGAGTGACATTCTATTTTGCTTAAATTTTGTTAGTGCCCTTGTGAAAGGGTGCCGTTGTCTGGAAATTGACTGCTGGGATGGATCACAAAATGAACCTATTGTATACCATGGTTATACACTCACCAGCAAGCTTTTGTTTAAGACTGTTATCCAAGCCATCCACAAATATGCATTCATGGTAAGTGCATATCTTTGTTAAACTGTAGTTATTAAAAGTGAGTCACCATAATTTACTTGCTCCAAAATCCGATAATGCCTGAATCATCATAATTTACTTGCTTCAAAATCCGATAATACTTGGCCTTGGTTTAGATCTGTGATATTTCAAATAGTGTGTTATAACTCATTAATTGGCAGTGAAATCTATGTAGTGTATAGTTAGAGGTATATTTATCAAAGTTAATTCAAGGTATGTGTTGTTTCATGGAACATTTTTATTTGAGTCATATAGTTTTTTAAAAATTATAATAGTGAATAGATTCTTGGATGTATGTTATGACAGGTTCAAGAATATTTGGAGTGCGGGAACCAGCAGTTAGCGTAATGGCTATGTCGCTGGACTCCCACGTAGTCGACCGCGGTTCATGTCCCGGACCCAGTGGCTTAAAACTCATGCCGGGCGCGTGTGCGTGCGTGCCCAAGATCCCGAGAGGAGAATGGAGGAGAAGGGATTGCGGTGTGACC